TCTTCTGGCTCAGCCACTTATATCCCCTTACCTGACATTCACATGCAAATCTTCCTGGGTGCTCACAGAGAAATCCCTGTGCTGACATTTCTCTCTGCACTGGTCTTCATCATCCAGACAACCATGCGGAGCCTCTGGTTCTTCCTCTGCCTGCTGGTGGCTCCCCTGGGTGAGTGTCTCAGGGATTCCAGGATTTACTGGATTGAGTGAGGGGTGAGAAAGGCTCACCGAGACTCTTTTTTCTTCCAGGTGTCTTGTCTGATCTGACCCTGCAGGAATCAGGTCCAGGGCTGGTGAGGCCTTCAGAGACATTGTCCCTCACATGCACTGTTTCTGGATATTCCATCGCAAGTGGTTACTGCTGGCACTGGATCCGCCAGCCCCCAGGAAAAGGACTCCAGTGGTTGTCAAGGATATGCTACAATGGAAACACGTATTATGATCCCTCCCTGAAGAGTCGACTTACCACCACCAGAGACACATCCTCAAATAAGTTCTTCCTGCAGCTGAGATCTGTCACCAACGAGGACACGTCTATGTATTTCTGTGCGAGAGACACAGTGAGAGGAAGTCAGTGTGGGAGCCTGCATTAACCTCAAGGCAGGGAAGGAGCTGGGCTGTTAGTGCCCCGAAGATCAACAAACAGTGGAGATCCAGTTTAGGAAAATGGTGCAGAGAGTGGCCAGTGCAGGGTTTGCCAGAAACTGGCACCTACCCTCCCTTAGCCTGTACTTCTAGACCATCTGTTTTGCCTGAATTTTCTTTTATTACAATCTCATTTAGAAGTTAGCCATTCTTAGTATTCATTTAGGTTTTGGGATTTTGCTTTTCATCAGGTAGAAAATGGTTGTCTGTCCCATACATGTTTTATTTCAACTTGCTTCTGTCATTGCTACATTTCAGGTCTGAATATCCCTAGTTCATGTGGGTAACACTTCAACTCTGGAATAACTATTTTTTTTCCCAATCCCAAAGACACAGAACAGGAGGGTGGTGGCCCTGACAAGGAAACTTACGCTTTTTTCTTACAGAAGAAATGTCTGGTGTTGAGGTGCCAGGACCAGTGTTCTCTAAAGTAGCACACAGAGAGTGGATGCCATGTGACAAACAAGAAGATAATCAGGAGTAGGAAGGGATGCAGTGGGTACTGAGGATATATCAAGAACAAGGAGCAGAGCCTCTAAACATAAGAGTACCAACTATGGTCAAAATCCCTCTTTGTTGGCTGTGAAGGACTTGTGTCTTTTTCTCCATACCTATTCAACCAGTGTTATTGTAGTTGTTGTTGTTAAGTGTCGTCAAGTCACTTGCAACTCATAGCGACTCTATGTACAACAGGCCTAAGCCCTTCTCTGTCCTGTGCCAATCACACTCTCTCTGACATACCCACCCTGATTGCCCCAGTAACTGAATCAATCCACCTCATAGAGGGACTACCCCTCCGGTGCTGTCCCTCCACCCTCCTAAGCATGATGTCCCTCTACAAGGACTAGTCCCTCCTTACAACATATCCAAAGTATCTCAGACAAAGCCTCAGAAATCTTGCCTCCAAGGAGCAGCCCAGTTTAAACCACTCCAGGATAAATCTATTTGGTTTCATAGCAGTCCATGGTACTCTCAATACACTTCTTCTGCACCACAGCTCAAAGCCATCAATTCTCCTTCTATCCTCCCTAGCCATTGTCCAACTCTGTGACCCATAACAATTAATTGCAAAGACCATAACCTGTATCAGACTCATTTTAGTCTCCAGAGAGACACCATCGCTCTTCAGTACTGTGGAGATGTCCCTAACAGCAGACTTTCCCATTGCAATATGTCTTTTAATTTCTTGGCTGCTGGTGCCAAGAGTGTTGACTGTGGAGCCAAGCACACTGAAGCTGTGAACAATCTCAATCTCTTCACCATCCATCCCGAGGCTGCCAATTGGTCTAGTGGTGAGAATGTTTGTCTTCTTGATATTGAACCTCAATTCATATTGAAGGCTGCAGTCCCTGACCTTCCACAGCAAGCACTTGAGGTCCTCCTCAGTCTCAGCGAGCAGGGTTTTTTTCATTTACATAATGCAGATTGTTGATAGATCTTCCTCCAATCCTTAGGCCACACTTCTCCTATAGAGCCTAGCTTCCCAGATAATCAGTTCTGCATACAGATTGGAAATGTATGGAGATAGGACACATCCCTGGCAATACCCTTCCCAATTTTGACCCGTACATTGTTACCTTGCTCCATTTTGACTACTGCCTCTTGGTCCAAATATAGGTTTCATATTAGCACGATCAAGTGTTCTGGGATTCCCATTTTTCTCAGAATGAGCCACAGTTTGTTATGATCCACACAGTCAAACATGTTTGCATAATCAATGAAACACAGATAGACAGTGTTCTGGTATTCCCTGCTTTCAG